AGAGATTCCAGCGCAAAATAAGAATAGAAGATTGGCAAGAACCATTAGAGAAGAACAGACTCCTAGAGGTGGGGCTTGATGACAGAATAGCGTAGAGGTGCAGTGAAGTGCACCATCAGCAAAATCACAGAATGCCAGGCGAAGCGGGTTCAGGGTAGAGTTCCAAAACTCTGAACTACATAGTTAGGATTATTTTAAAAGTTTGAAGACTGATAGCTAGTGGAACTTGTGGCAGAAGTTAAGAAATCACATACTTTTCAATCTGTAGGGCTCAGTGGCCCTGAGTAGACAACTTGGGTGAGACCAAACAGCAAGACCAAGCGGGAGAGCAGACCCACCATGGACTAACTAACGCTGTGGAAACCTCAGAGCAAAGGTGGACAATACACTTCGTCAGTTTTGCTTTGCTCTGATTTTCTTTTTCTTTTTTTTTTTTCCTCTTAGTTCATTGGCCCTCCATACTGGTTGTGCACCTCCATTCTGGTGACTAGTTGGGGGTACCTGAGAGAGTGGACGCCGACCACCCCCACCACTGGTGGGTTCTTCTGCCACACAAATGCACAGATACTCTCAGCCCAAAAGCAGCCCTGAACTGTTTTTTAATAGGCAAAAGGCCAGAACAAGGAGTGCGGAGAAGGAAAGAGAGTTTAAAAAACAAAACAGGCTGAAAATTAAATTAAGTCCTGAGGTATACCATAACAACCAACAGTGGCATCTTGAAATCTCTCAGGCAGCTTTGAAGGCAAGAAGCTGAAAGAGGACATTAAAGTCATACTCACATTAGGCTACAGATTTTTTTTTCCTTCTCCCCGTCCTCTCCCTTTTCTGTGATTATAGACTACAATATCCAATCTAGTTTTTGTTGTTGTTGTTTTTTTCTTTTTTTTGCTGTTGTTGTTTTATGCTCCCCCTTTTACATTTGGGGGCCTCCTTCTCTCCCTATATTACCCAAGAAGAGACAGCAACTGCTGCCATACAGTCAAGCTACTATCACACTCTATGAAACACCAAAATCCAGGCAAGAACCAATACCAACTGCCATATATCAGGGAGGCAGACAACACCTGAAAAAGCTACTCTGAGTTAAGCAATAAGAAGATTGAAAAGGGAAGCCCACATCATGATTACAACGCCCTGCTGAATAGTGACTAGGTAGTAGAAGAAATTAAATGTGAATTTACAAAGTTCCCAGAAACAAATGAGAATGAAAACACAACATACCAAAATCTGAGACACTGCAAAAGTGGTGCTGAGAGGACAATTTATTGCAATAAATGCACACATCCAAAATGAAGAAAGAACCAAAATTAACACATTAACATAGCACCTACAACAATTAGAAACAGACCAACAGAGGTTGGAAACTACAACCACCAAAAGAAAAGAAATAATGAAGATTAGAGCAGAAATAAATGAGACAGAAAACAGAAAAACAATAGAAAGAATCAACAGGACAAGAAGCTGGATTTTTGAAAGGATTAACAAAATTGACAGACCAGTGGCAAACCTACAAAAGAAATGAGGGAGAAGACATAACACACATTAGAAACCACACGGGCAATGTCAAAACGGAACCAAAGGAAATCAAAAGGATAATAGCAGAATACTATGAAAAGTTGAACTCCAACAAATTTGAAAACTTAGAAGAGATGGATACATTTTTAGAAAAACACGATCTACCTAACTAACCTTACACAGAATGAAGTAGAAAACCTGAACAGACCCATAACAAAAGAATAAAGACTGCTTTGATATGATATAAACCAAATACTGAATATGACTTATAAAATCTGATTCACAGATACTTTTCACAAACAAGCCTATTGGATTGAGTAACACAGACAGTATCATGTATTTTAGGAAAGCATGTTCAAGACCTGTGGGTGGCTCCTGAGAACCATTCTCTTACTGTTCCAATAAGGCACAGTGCAGGGAGACAGCAGCAGATTCTCAGATCCTAGCATCAACTAGCACAATCATTCTGGCTCATCAAAGGGCAAAGGGTAAAATTTAATCATCTTGGTACACCTGGACCAAGAAGCAGTTGTTCGAACAGAGCATGGGAACACTGACTGTTTTAAAATTAAGATAGGTGTGCAACAAGGTTGTGTTCTTTCACCATACTTATTCAAACTGTATGCTGAGCAAATAATCCAAGAAGCTGGGTTCTATGAAGAAAAACGTGGCAGCAGGATTGGAGGAAGACTCATTAACAACCTGCAGTATGGAAAGGATACAACCTTGCTTGCTGAAAGTGAAGAGGACTTAAAACATTTACTGATGAAGATCAAAGAACGCAGGCTTCAGCATGAATTACATCTCAATGTAAAGAAAACAAACATCCTCACCACTGGACCAATAAACAACATTCTTATCAACGGAGAAAAAACTGAAGTTGTCAAGACTCCATTCTTCTTGGATCATCAACACTCGCAGAAGCAACAGTCAAGAGATCAGACGACGTATTACATTAGGCAAATCTGCCGCATAAGAAGTTTTTAAGGTGTTGAAGAGCAAAGATGTCAGCTTGAGGACTAAGGTGCACCTGACCAAAGCCATGGTATTTTCAATAACCTCATATGGATGCAAAAGCTGGACAGTGAATAAGGAAAATCATAGAAGAATTGATGTCTTTGAATTATGGTGTTGGAGGAGAATACTAAAAGTGCCATGGGCTGCCAAAAGAACCAATAGATCTGTTTTGGAAGAAGTGCTCCTTTGAGGCCAGGATGGCTAAACTTCGTCTCCCATAATTTGGACATATTGTCAGGAGGTAACAGTTGCTGGAGAAGGATATCATGCTGGGTAAGATGGAGGGTCAGAGAAAAAGAGGAAGACCCCCAACGAGATGGACTGGCCAGTGGCAGCATTGACGGACTCAAGTGTGGCAGCGGTAGTGAGGTTGGTTGGCCCAGGATCGGACATTGTTTCATTCTGCTGTGCATGGGGTAGCTATGAGTCAGTTCCGACTTGATTGCACCTGACAACAACAACAACAACAAGGTACACAGATGATCTCGTCTTTAGATAAAGAAAGGCTAAGTTAAGCACTGAAATGTATTCTTGGAAAAGACTTGGTTTTGTTGAACTTGAGCTTTCCTTATAAAGTCCAGATAACAATGACTTGCTCTAAAACTCTAGTTATCCACTTAATAAACTTGAATAGAAATGACATCTGCCAAGTGTAGAAGAAACTGTAATGACCTATCCAACATGCATTCTCTCCATCCTTCTCCTTCTTGTTCAGTGCTGAGTCATAACAACCCTGCACAGGGTTTCTGAGGCTATAAATCTTTCAAAAGCAGAAAGCCTTATCTTTCTCCCATGGAGTAGCTGGTGGGTTTGAACTGTCGACCTTGGGGCTCACAGCATTTTTTGTACAGAGCCAGCAGCCTTCCTGTACATTTCTCCTCAAACTCCTAGATTTAAAGAAAATACACACAAAAACGTGTCCTTCATAAAATAAACCATTTTCCCAGGTTGCCCATCATATCAATTAAATCAGAGTATTTGAGGACTGGAAACAGGTCTTGTTACTTTTAAAAATCCTCGGGAATCATACTGGGCCCATGTTACTAACAGTTGACTCAGATTCTGATGTTGTATAAGTATCAATTAGGAAAAAGGAGAAGTTGGAAAACTATTTAATTATCTTTACAGCTATATACCTTTAACCATGTCGTTTCGGTGACAACATACAAATGGAAAGGTATTTAAAAATATTTCTAGTGTGGTGCTGTAAGATAAATGCTGGACAGCTAACCACAAGATAGATAATTCAAACCCACTAGCCACTCCTCGTAAACATTATACAGAGTGGCTCTAAGTCAGAACTGACTCACAGCACTTATCAACAACACTGTATTTTATTATTAAAATAGGATGATGAGGAGATATTTACTAAACACTTTGGCTTATTTTGTAAGCATTTTCTCTATTCGATTCTCACTTAAGCCTATGGGGTTGTTGTTGTTAAGTGCCGTCGAGTCGGTTCCGACCCATAGCAACCCTGTACAGGGTTTCCGAGGGTGTAAATCTTTACGGGAGTAGAAAGCCTCATCTTTCTCCCGCGGAGCGGCTGGTAGTTTCGAACCGCTGACCTTAAGGTTTGCAGCCCGATTCGTAACCACTACGCTATGGGGTAGTGCCATGCATATTTTACAGCTTAAGAAATGGAGGCTCAGAGAAAACAAGTAACTCGTTCAGAATCTCACATCAAACAGCTGCCAAAGGCAGCATTCAAGTTCCTATCTGCAGGACGTCAAGGCCTGTGCATTTTCTAGTACCCAGTCACTGAAGGAGAAAAGACATGGAGAGGCCTTCTAAAGAGCTGATTTTTTCTGGACGAAATCAAAATTTCATGAAAGAATGAATTTGAAAGGGAAGAAAAAAGTCGTATCAAATGTGTAAGCATTTCATAAATGTTGCAAAAAGAAAATATTACTTCCAAGTTGATTCTAAGAAAAAAAAAATTGTTCTAAACAGTGAATCAATGAATTTTAAAAATCACTTGTCAATTTGAAAATCTTTGAGAATACTACCTTTAGAGTAGAGAACAATTGGTTTATAAGACAATATTTGACAAAATACAATCTAAATTAGTCAGTGTAGTGACACAACATCTAAACTTTCAAATCACTGTTAAAGATTTTTCAGAAGGATATTAGCTCTTTCTCTGCCCAGTTTTTTGAATTTCACTTATATGAAAAAGTTAATACTTACAGAGTTATCCATAACTCAACCTGGGAATTGTTGTTGTTAAGTGCCATCGAGTCGGTTCTGACTCATAGTGACCCTGTATAGGGTTTCTGAAGATTGGCTGGTGGGTTTGAATCACTTACCTTGTGGTTAGCAGTTCTGTGCTTATCCAATGTACCACACGAGAACTCCAATTAAACACACATATACAGTTAAAAAAAATTTTTTTTAATTACACAAAAGCCTAAAAAGTATCTGTTATACATCCTATAAGAAACTGAAAAACATACACTCCTACTTACCTTGGTTTGTCTCTTTTTTCTCTTTGCCTTTCAAAATCTCGTCCTCTGTCCTTTCCATCTCTTGGTTTTTCTTCAATCCTTTCTTTCACTTTATACTTTTCTTTGTATTTTTTTCCCAGAGCAATATCTTCCTGTATTGGAGGGGGTGGACTGGGAGTACGAGGGCCTTTCTTTTTACTTTGGTTGCTTTTTGAAGGCCTGAAAGCAAAACAAAGCCATCAGTAGAGGTCTAAATACTTTCTGTAGGTCATATGGATATATATATATATGCATTTTAAAAAAGTACTTTTTTAAAAAGGCAATAATCCTTTTAACAACAGCCTTTTTATGTATTAGAAAAGATAAGGGTGGGTTCAAATAAGAAAACAATATAATAAAAGTAATAAAAAACAAAACAAAACTACTTTTTTTTTAATTAGTGAAAAGTACTAAAAACAATACCTGATAAATGTGACCACTGTAAAAAAAAAAATAATAATAACACCCCACCATTAAGCCAGTTGTAATACAGAAAAGCAGATGAGGAAAGTAAAAATATCCTATAGTTCCACTACACAAGGACAATTAATGCAAACAGTTTGGATGTATTTTCAAATATTTTACATATCTGTCTCTCTCTCTTCCTCTCACACATACACAAAGAGAATATCCTATCAAAATGTTTTATACATACTTTTGTACTAAGTATTATATAAGCATTTCCTATAACAAAAAGTACAGCTATATCATCATTTTTATCATTGGGGGGTGGACTGGGAGTACAAGGGCCTTTATTATATATATATATAAAATTATTATATATATAAATATATAATTTCCTTAAAAGGATGCTCCAGGACTTTTAAAAATAATCTCACAAAGTATAGGTAGCTTCCAAGTTTTCCTCATTATAAAAGATACAAAATTATATAATTCACAAATTACATCTTTTAATATCTTAAGCATTATTAGACAATAATCATTTAAATCTTTGAGTCGTTCCTAAGAGATCTTTCCTAACTCTGAGATCATAAAAAAAGTTTCCTATAATGTTGGGATTCTGGCTTTCATATTTATCTATGAATCTCCATGGAAACAATGTTTGGGTACAGATTATCTTTTTTCATTTGGTACTTCAAGCCATTTCATGGAAGGGAGGCAACTTTAAGCCCTTACATCCAAAAACTGTCTACTTTTACCTCATACCTGAAGAATGTTTCCCTACACACAGCATTCTGAGATCACAAACCTTTTTCCCTCAGAACTCAGTAAATATTACTGCAGTGTTTGGTAGCATTTACTTCACAGATGAGAACAACACATATAGTATTTTTCCTATGCTGATTACCTGATTTTTTCTTAAAAAAATAAAACAAAACATTATTTTATTTATTTTAACTTTCTTTTCATTCAAGCTATTATTGTCTAGCGAGTGCACTGGCTCCACAGGATAGATAGAGAATTGCGAACCACAGGTCAGATATTGGAGCCCACCAGCTGCTCTGTGGCAGGATGATCCTTTAAAGATTTACAAACTCAGAAACCCTACATAAGGCCTTTATGAGCCAGAAGAGTCTCAATGGCACTCAACAACCCCCTAGTCAGAAATTTACATTTCCTTTCCCTCCCACCCCTGATAACCATTAAAGAATGTTTTAGTGTGAAAATCTGTTCTTGACTTTCCCTAATAGTGGTCTCATATTGAGATTGATTTATTTCATTCAGCATAATGCATTCTAGGTTCACCCATGTTATGAGGTGTTTCAGATTCATAATCATTATTTAGCATTATGTAGTATTGCATTATAGGTATGTACCATAGCTTAGCCATGTATCCATTAATGGGCATTTAGGTTGTTTCCATCTTTTTGCTATTGTAAATAGTGCTGTGATGTACATGGATGTGACTATATCTCATCAAAACATGGCTCTTACTTCTCTAGGATATATTCCAAGTAATGAGATTGCTGAATCATACAGTATTTCCATTTCAAACTTTTTAAGGAAGAGCTATGCCATTTTCCACAATGGTTGCGTCATTTCGTAGTCCCACTAACAGTGTATGAGGGTTCATTTGGTGATTTTTTTCTTTAAAGGTTTTTATTGTGGATTGAGCGAAAGTTTACAAGGCAGATCATCAGTTTTACATTCAACAAATCATATACCTTGTTTCATTACAATAATTATAGTCCCCTCCATGTACCATCAGTTAAAAGTATTTCTCTCTATTCACGTTATCGTTTTTTAAACAAAACAAAACAATACTCAGGCATATATAATAATTTACACCTCTAAAGGGCACATTCTGAAAGTCAGCCTCCTGGCCATCAGCTCTCAGTCCCTCTCTTCCCATGAATCCAGAGTCCGCAGCAGCTACCCCTCTCCATGACGCCATCACTGCCTCCATCTCTGGTGTCTGCTGCTTCTCTAAACAAGATCCCGCATTCTGCTTGTGTTCTTCTCTCTTGATGGTCCAAGGGTCCTCTGTTTCTGGACTGTAAGATTAACCACTCCCCTGTTTATGTTACAAAACTTCTACCTTTACAATTGTGACAGTCGCAATTAGTCATGATAACAATTATTCACTATTGAATAATATGACTCTTACCCCATCTCTTTTTACCAAACCCATCTAGATAAGATGAAAACTTTCAGTGGGGACTCTTATTCCACCTCTCCCCAACTCTTAAACTATACTCCCTCTTGAAACCTTGTAAGCCAGTTACTTCATGCCTTAATTGCCCCCTCATTTTGGGCAGCCAATATCTAAGTAGCCTGTCCCTATCTACCCGTATACAGATGGGATGGCATTGATATTTGATGTGAAGACTTCTTCCCTCTCTGTTAGTATTTAGAGTTACTACCTCCATGAGTACAGGTCAGGTTCATCAAATTGTAGCAATTTACCCTTGTTTCCTTTATCAAAAAAAAAAAATTTTTTTTTTTTTCATTCATCTTCCTCTAGTAGAGTTCTGATTATCAAGCCATCGAAGCTAGGTCAAATGGGTACTGTTTGCAAGTTTGGGTGTTCTTGTGCATCTCTCCTCACTTCCTATCAGCTGGATGCTTCACTCTCAGCTCTAGCCCTCTGTGGCTATGTCCTTGTCCATGGGCTCAGGTGTCCC